TTAATCCGATGTTTGGTTAAACAATTAAAGTAGGGATTAATTATTTTAAGCTTGACTATCAGTTAATATCGGATACATAATCCAACGGATTCGTAGTCCTAGGACTATTAGTCATGGGAATGTTAATCCAGTCCGCCCAAACAAACATGGCCCTAAAGTAATCAGAACATTCACTTAACCCTAAAAAGGCACCGCCCTTTACACCACTAAAGTAATAAGAACAAACCTGCCTATTGGAACAAATGAACACACTAACTCACAATATATACTTAAATAAAGCCCAAATTTCCAAAGCACTCGACCCCCTTGAGAGTTGACATCCGACGTAGGCATGACAATGTTGCTTCATGTTCATCTCACCTGCCCATGTCAATTTATTTTTGGATTATTTATATGTGGATAAATTACACTTTACTCACTCTATGTTTAGTCACTTTTCACGTTGGTCCTTAAAGTTGTTTTTTTTTTTTTTTTCACTTTAACCTTTCATATTTTAAGTTTTTCTTAATTTACTCCTAAAATTAATTTCTGTTAAAAATTAGACATAAAATAACACATTAATAGTCATGTACTATAAAAATATTTTATTATATATAACTCACATATCTAACATAAATTTAAATTCTGATATAATAATATATTATTTATGTTATGTACTAGTTAATATAGAATTTTTTTGTCTAAATTTTAACAAAAATTAGTTTTAGGAGTAAATTGAAAAAAACTTAAAACATGAAAGGCTAAAGTGAAAAAAATAAAAAATAAAAAATTTAAAGGTCAAAGTGAAAAAGTGACCACACATAAAAGAGATAAAGTGTAATTTACACTTTATATCTAGATCTTCAATTATTAATCAAAATCACTTTATCTTATTATCTATGAACTCATATATTTTAACCCATTTTAATTATAAAATTATATCATTTCCACCTTGAAAACTCTCTATAAACCACCTTTAGAAAAGGTGTATTTATATGATTTTATAGTTAATGAATCAATATATTCGAGGAGCTCCTAGTAAAAGTTCAGAAAATATTTTTTTAAAAAAAGCAAAAAATAGTAGATTATGTTCCACCAATTCTTTAGATTTATTTTTTATTTTTTGGAATTTTGCCGTAACTATCACCTTCTCCATCTAAATTAAGAGCCGGAGCATATCTAAATTATCTATCTCGTGACAGTGATATTTTTTCTATTACGAGCACGATAATATATATTTTAGTTTAAAATAAAAAGATTACAAAAAATAACAACATTTTTTATAAAAAGTTATTCACAAATTATGTTCATGTAGCATTATTTTTTCAACCATAGAGAAAATGCATGTTTACTGTAACTTATTATAAACTAAAATTAATAATTAAAAAGTAAAAGTTAAAAGTATCATCTATTCAACCTCTTAATTAATTTTTTTTTAAATTTATTTAATTTATTTTTGTCTCATATACTATAAATTAAAGTTACACCAAATATTCTATTATAAAAATTTCTAACTATCTTAAAAAAGTGCACCACACAACCTCTCAAAGTTTCGGGCAACACTACATAGCCAAACCAACACATTTATGCTATAAATATTTACAGAACATTGTATAGTTTTTAAGTTGCAAACTCTGATGATCCAATCTTCTTATTTTCAAATTTGTGAAATGAAAATACACACTTGAATATCATTTGTTTGAAAATCAATGCGTTAACATTTTTCTTTTACTGCAATATATAAAAGTTTTAAAAATTAAATTTTTTGATTTCTAAAAATAAAAATTTTGAATTAAGAGAATGCAAGTACTTAGGTGCTTTGCCAAAGATGGAGAGATTTGCTCTCATAGGTGCTAATCTAACAACTAGCATTTGCCGATCAAAAAATAAAAAAAAATAAAAATTTTATTACAAAAGATATTTAAGTATCAATTTCTATCGTCGTGAGTATAGTCACTGAAACGTCGTATCAAAAAGTCAGAAATAAGAGGGTAAATTATAAATACACCCCCTGAGATTTAGACCTCGTTTGTCAAGTTAACATTTTAGCAAAAAAGCTAAAAAGTTATTAAAAAAGTCAAAAAACCTATAACATATACCAAAAAGTCAAAAATTCTTTTTTCTCTCTACTTTTTGCACATCTTTTCGTAAAAAGTCAAAAAGTCATTTCAAACATATTAATTTTTTTTGTCTCATATTTTAGTCAAAAAGTCAAAAAGTTACTAAAATAGCATGTTCCCAAACGAGAATTAAAATACGAATCGCCCCTGTGGTTTTGAAAATTATATTGCACCCCCTGAGATTTCTAATTTCATAACAAATAACCCATTTTGTTAATAAATTATCAATTCAATTAAATTTTTTTAATGATATTAAAAATATGTTTCAATTAATAATTTAGGTAATTTTATTATTGTATAGGAGAACAATTATGAATTTCATTTTTAATTAATTCTGTTAAATAAAAAATTCTAATAAGGAGGTATTTGTAATTTTTCGAACCACGGGGGACAATTTGTATTTTAAGGAAATCTCAAAGGATGTATTTGTAATTTACCCAAAATAAGGCTTTTAGCGACAATGTTAAAAATGTCACTAATAAATAAATTTTAGAAACAAAATAATTTAATCTCAAAATGATTTATTTTTTGAGACAAAAAAATTGGTCCCAAAAGGATAATAATTCATCCTTAATGTCCAATTTTCATTGCTAAAAATATAATACCGACACTTTTCACAATAAAAATATTTGGTCCTTCAAAACAATTTATTTATAAATTTTGGTTTCTAAAATCTTAATTTTTTTATAATGTTTATTTTAAATCATAAACTTTCCAAAAAATACTTATGGAACTTGGTCAAAATCTTATTTGAACAAGAGCATTAGGAGGAGAGTTTAATATTTGTAATTTAGGAATTATTTGGAATGATCTAAATAAGTGTATTTTTTAATTTTTTATAAAATATATATATATATATATATATATATATAAAAAAGAAAAATGAAATGATCAAAAAAAAATAAAAAGATAAAAAATATTATTATATAACACACCTTAAACAAAATTTTATTTTCCCTTAATATGGAATTGTTTGTAGTTGTTTATTTCCTCGACCCACTTCATCAGAGTTCACTTCACTCCAAGTTATTTCTGGAAAAAAAATCTCTCCCAATTGCACTGGTTTACTGCTTAGTTGTACGAACTAGGGTTTGTTGCGTGGTGTAGGATGATGATAATGACATCCAAAGATGTACAAGGAGTGATACCACCATGCATCACTTGAGCCGACAAATATACCAAGATTGCAAACCCTAGCTGCCACGTCACCATATCCTCCCAAACCTAAGCATGCTTACGTTCAAAAGAAAAATGTTAAAAGACAATCCTTTTATGGTGCGTTTGTTTGAACGGACTAGATAAGGGAACTGTAATCCATCAAACTATTAGTCCTCGGATACATTATCCTCGGATTATTTGGTTGAATTGGATTTGTATCCTATGTTTATTTAATCATGGATTAGATGTCTGGATTGGACTATTTTTAGTTATTCAATGTTTGGTTAAACGGACTGGATAAGAATAAATATTTAAAAAACTATTTTACCCTTGTAATTTATAATTTTTATTTAATATATAATTTTAAATTTGTAATTTTAATATATAATTTTAAATTAACAACACTAAAAAAATAATTTATAAATGTTTAAAAGATTATTTTACCCTTTTCTAATTGTTTACTAAGTAATAGCATGAAGGTTAAAATGGACATTTTACAAAATAATCCGATGGGATACCAATCCCATGGTTTCTATCCCCCCAATGGGATAGGATAGTCCCATATTTGTAGGACTAATAGTTCGGGAGGACTATTAATCCAGAGCAAAATTTTTCAAACAAACAATGGACTATTAGTCCACACCATAATCCTTCAAAACGAACACATATAAAAAAAAATGTACAGAAAGTGTATTTAAATATATAAAATATTTTTGAAATATGTGAAAAATATATTTAAATTATAAAAATTGATAAATTTACAAAAAAAAATAAAAAATAAAATAAGCTTGATCTTTGTAACAAATAGTAAATTCTTACCCACACGTGACTATGTGGGTAAGGCGCACAGTCACGGGTTCGATTCCCCACTAGGTGAGTGCTTGCAACAGTTTGAAAGGGGTACACGGCTTCCCCCGGGCCACTTACCCCGCAGGATTAGTCCTGACTTCCCGAAAAACTAGAGGGTTGGGGATACATGCGTTATCAAAAAAAAAAAAAAAGTAAATTCTTAATTTTTAATTTTGTCAATTTAAATTTTAATCTCTTAATTTATTTTGAATCTAAATTATAGTCTATTTTCATTACGTAAAACTGATAAAAATGGTATTTTAATTATTAAACTCAATAAAAATGATATTTTAAATATTTTATGTATGCCTGTATTAAATTTAATCATTAAAATAGTATTTTTCAATTAATTTTACTTAATGAAAATAGAAAGATAATTATATTAAAAATAATTTTAAATTTTAAATTTAAAAAATTCATTATTTAATTTGTTACAAAGGTTATACTTTCATTTATTTTATTTTATTTTTTTTGTAATTTTTCCCAAAATTTTGACATTTTTTTTGTTTCTTGTTAACTGCTCTTATAAATATCATTATCAAGACATATCCAATATTATCTTTAACTGAACAACTCATCATCCACTAATTCTACAAATCCCACAAGGAAACAAAACTGTACACACATGGTTAGGCCTAAGTTGAAATGATATGTACAGCTCCCAAATCTCACAAAAATTTTCACAAAGTTGCTTAGTTGTCATGTATCACGTTTACACATGTTCAATTTCAATTCGTTGACTTCATTTTAGTCAAATATCTAAGGCGCCAAACGTAAAGTTCAATTTCAATCTCTCAACGGCAGTTAGGCACATACACACAATAGTACTCTCAAATTTTCTACATTATTCATCTCTTTGTATATATGTGGTGCATGCATTCTTCTGTGTCATACACTCTCTCTCTCTCTCTCTCCCTATTCAATTCGATCTCTTCGAATTTTTAGGTCTTCAAAGAAGATCAATTCAACTACGAAAAATGGATTTTTCCAATTTTAATTCTCTCTCTCTCTTCTTGTTTGTAATCTTCTTTGTAAACGTATTATCAAGTCAAGACAATGCTCAAATTTTGAATAATGATCAAGCATCTCTCCTCTCATTCATGTCCGGGATTAGAAATGACCCTGGACATGCTCTCAAGAGTTGGAACAGTTCGAGTGTTCATGTTTGTAATTGGTCAGGAGTGAGGTGCAACACTAACAGAGATCGAGTGGTAGAGCTTATTCTTAGTGGTAAGTCCTTGAGAGGCACCATTTCACCAGCTATTTCAAATCTTTCTTTCTTGGCAATTCTTGATTTGTCCGGTAACTTCTTTGAAGGTCACATTCCAACTGATTTAGGCTATCTTTTCCACCTCAAACAGCTCAGTTTATCATCCAATCTTCTTGAAGGAAAAGTTCCTACTGAATTGGGCTATCTTAGACAATTACAGTACCTTTCCCTAGGAAGTAACCAGCTCACCGGTGAAATTCCGGTGCCATTGTTATGCAATGGGTCTTCTTCTTTGGAGTATGTAGACCTCTCTAACAATTCTCTTAGTGGTTTAATACCTTTGAGTAATGAATGTGAGCTTAGGGAATTGGGGTTTCTTCTACTTTGGTCCAACAAACTTGTGGGTCATGTTCCTCAAGCCCTTTCCAACTCTTCAAAACTCAAATGGATTGACTTGGAATCAAATTTTCTTTCTGGGGAGTTGCCAAATGAGGTTGTGAATAAAATGCCACAGTTACAATACCTTTACCTGTCCTACAACAACTTCATAAGCCATGATGGTAACACCAATCTTAAGCCTCTCTTTTCTTCTTTGTCTAATTCCTCTAACTTGCAAGAGCTTGAATTGGCTGGAAATAAAATTAGTGGGGAGTTACCTTCTATTATTGGTGATCTTTCCATTAATCTTGTACAGATTCATCTTGATGATAATCTTATCTATGGTTTCATTCCTCCACAGATTTCCAACCTTGTCAACCTCACTTTCTTGAACTTGTCTAGTAATCTTCTGATTGGATCCATCTCAACAGAACTATGTAGACTTGAAAAACTAGAGAGACTTTATTTGTCGAATAATTCACTCTCCGGTGAGATTCCATCGGCTTTTGGGAATGTTCCCCATTTGGGTCTTCTAGATTTATCCAAAAACAAGCTCTCCGGTTCAATCCCAGATAGTTTTGCTAATCTCTCCCAGCTAAGGAGACTCTTGCTCTATGAGAACCAGCTCTCAGGAACCATACCACCAAGTCTAGGCAAGTGCATTAACTTGGAGATACTAGACCTTTCTCACAATCAACTTTCAGGGTTAATTCCTAGTGAAGTTGCAGGACTGGAAAGCTTGAAGTTGTACTTGAACTTGTCTAGCAATTACTTAAAAGGGCCTATACCACTAGAGCTGAGTAAAATGGACATGGTGCTAGCTATTGATTTGTCCTCAAACCACCTCTCTGATACAATCCCATCACAAATTGGAAGCTGCATTGCCTTAGAACACCTCAATTTTTCCAGGAATGTTTTAGAAGGCCCGCTTCCAATATCGATTGGTCGGTTGCCATACCTTAAAGACCTCGATGTGTCCTTCAACCAATTAACAGGTGAGATACCGCAATCTTTGCAGGGTTCTTCAACTCTGAAACAGCTCAACTTTTCTTTCAACAATTTCAAAGGGAATGTGTCGAACAAGGAGGCATTTTCATCACTAAGCATTGATTCTTTCTTGGGAAATCCGGGGCTTTGTGGTTCAATCGAAGGCATGAGAATCTGCAAGAAAAAAAGGATTTACCGTCTTGTCATCTGGCCAGTTGTCCTTTCATTATTTGCAATTCTAGTATTGTGCATGTTTGGGTACTCTCTAGCACTCAAATCAAAATTCAACAAGCAATGTTCCATTTTTACTGAAGAAAATGGAGAAACTGAAAGGAAAGAAGAGCTCAAACACCCAAGGATCTCTCACCGGGAGCTCATTGAAGCCACAGGTGGGTTTAGCAGTTCAAGCCTAATTGGGTCAGGTCGATTTGGTCATGTCTACAAGGGGGTCCTCCAAGACAGCACAAGAATAGCTGTGAAGGTATTGAATTTGAATGATTCAAGAACAACACCAGCAGAGATTTCAAGCAGTTTTAATCGAGAATGCCAAGTTCTAAAGCGAACGCGACATAGAAACTTGATAAGAATCATAACAATCTGTAGTAAGCCAGATTTCAAGGCTCTTGTTTTTCCATTGATGCCGAATGGTAGCTTGGAAAACCATCTGTATCCGAGGCACGGTTTGAGGAACCATGGGCTAGATTTGGTTCAATTGGTGAGCATTTGCAGCGATGTCGCTGAGGGAATGGCATATCTGCACCATCATTCTCCTGTTAAAGTGGTGCACTGTGATCTTAAACCGAGCAATATTCTTCTTGATGAAGGCATGACAGCTTTAGTAACTGATTTTGGTATTGCAAGGTTGGTAAAAGGTGGTGATCATAAGAATGTTTCTTCTACACATGATGATTCAGTTTCTTTCAGCTCTACTGATGGCTTGCTTTGTGGATCACTTGGTTACATTGCTCCAGGTACATTACTAATTAATTTTAGGATAAATTATACTAATAGTGCTTATAGTTTGGACCTTGTATCACTTTGAGCCCAAACTTTTTAATTATGACATTTTTTTTTTTTTTTTTTTATCAGCAAAGAAAAATTTCATTAATCAACATGAAATTAAAGGTACAGGAAGATGAAATGCACTGAGAGAGATTCAGACAGTACAAAGTACCCCTACTACTGCAACTCGCAACCATACAACCAACCCCTTGGCCTCACGATTAAAAAAAAATAAATAATCATTAATTATGACATATTTGACCTTGAATTTTAAATTTTGTTTCAAATAAGGACAATTGAATATACCATTACTCAATTTGAAGGGCAAAGTCGTTAATTTGATAAAATATAAATTAATTTGACAAAAATAAATGTCAAAAAAATATTTTTGAATTTTCAAAAATTATTTCTACCCACTAAAGATAAAATTATATAAAATTGATAAATCTTTTAGATATTTATTTATTTAAAGCCTAACAACCACCCATTACTTGATCATCATCCAAAAACATAATAAAAATAAGAGTTAATTATTTAAAAGCCCTATTTACAAATGTTATGATAGCTTAGGTCCTATTTAAGATTTTTTGAACCAATAAATCCTACTTAGTAAAACAGAGAGTATTATCAGTCTTTCCCAATTTTTAAAAATAAGAACATTATCAATTTTGCATAGTAATGTTTCAGATAATTATTTCACTAACCGATGGAAAAAAGCAGAGCATGAGATTAAAAATTTTTGTCCTTCTACTTATTGGTTTGATTCAACTATTCAATAAAATCGAGAATATAAACAGTTTTTTCCAATTTTAAAATTGAGAATATTATTAGTTTTTTTCATTTTTAAAGTTCTTTTTTTTTTTTTTTAGTTTTGCACATCAATATTCCATTACCATGCTTTTTTATAGTCACAAAAATTTAAATTTTGCACAAAAAAATAATTAAGTTTTTTCAATTTTTTCCAAAAAAAAATTAGCTTCTTTTTTTTCTTTTTTTTTTTACAGATAATTTTTTTTAAAGTTTTTTCAATTTGAAAGTTGATTTTTAAAGTTTTGAAAATCAAAATAAATGTCAAATCATTATATTCTTTTATAGATAATCATAAATGATGAACAATCATTGTTTGAAGAGCAATTTGGACTATTAAAAATTTAATGGGATTTGAAGTTTCAAATAATCTTAGTTAGGACTTAATGGAGTATAAGTTCATAAATTAAGACTTGTGTGAAAATGCTCCTAAAAATTAATTCAGTAAAATAAATAAATAAATGCCTAAAAGATTTATCAATTTTACATAATTTTATCTTTGGTAGGTAGAAATTATTTTTTTAAATTCAAAAATATTTTTTTCACATTTATTTTTGTTAAATTAGTTTATATCTCATGAAATTGAGCAACTTTGCCCTTAAAATAGAATGATGATATTTTCAACTGTCCTTATTTGAAACAAGATTCAAAGTTCAGAATCAAATGCATCACAATTGAAAAGTAAAGAATCAAAATGACACGAACGTCAAACTATAGGGACTATTAAGTGTAATTCGCCCTTAATTTTAAACAATACTTTAGTTGTAGCAATTGAAAATTATCTACTCCTAGCTTATAATAATAGTAATGGTTGGTGTGTCGATTTTGTGCTTTTCCTCACTGTTCATTCCACCTTATTAAGCACAGCACACTTTGGATTTCTCCATTAAATTTTTTTTATGTATAATCTATAATCTCTCATATCCAAAGTCTAATATTTGTTTTCTGAATCCAGTGCACTGAAAAGTATAGACTCTAGGTATGTGATATATTGGACCATACTCCTAAGATTCTCGAGATCCTGTATTTTTATTTTTATTTTTATTTTTATACAATTTGTCAAATTTCCTACAGAAAGTTTGCAAGTGTGAGTGTAACAATCCTACACAAATTGCATTTACACTTGACATAGTTAATCTTTGCACTCGTATGCATTTTGAGAGATCGTCATCCAATTTTGAAAGGTCCGTACACTTTAAATGGATTATTTTGTCCTTAGTTTCTATCTAATGTTCTCATCTCGCATGAACATTAATGCAGAATATGGAATGGGAAAGCGAGCTTCCACACAAGGAGATGTTTACAGTTTCGGAGTCCTTCTGTTAGAAATCGTGACAGGAAAGCGTCCCACAGACGTCCTTTTGCACGAGGGTTCGAGCCTGCATGAATGGGCGAAGAGTTGCTACCCACATAAACTTGAACCAGTGGTCCAAGAAGCACTTGAGAGGTGTGCACCCCATAACAACCAGGTCTATGACCACAAGGCTTGGCATAGTGTGATATTTGAGTTGATTGAGCTTGGGATAATTTGCACACAGTACAATCCTTCAACAAGACCAACCATGTCAGATGTAGCCCAAGAGATGGCTACGTTGAAGCACTATCTTTCTAGTCCTTCCACCCTTCTCATTGAAGAAGAAGAAGAAGAAAAAGCTTGTGCCAAAGTCAGTGTTATCTGATTATGGAAAGAAGAATTCATCCACAGAGACGAACGCTTCCATTTCATTTCTTATGTGTTTTTACACAATAAATGACATGAAATATGTACAAGTAAGACTTACTTTATTTACAAGATATTGACTCTTGTTATTATTTTTCGAATGTAATGAATTAGTGGGATGTATCATTATTGTTATCTTATTCTGAGTATTTTCTCTGATTGAATTTTGTATACTATTTGGAGACGATGTATGATGGGTGTTAGACTTATCCAATATATACAGTATTTCTAAACTATCCAAGTTTTAATATATTTCACAAGACCCTTCATTCATGCTCAATTAGTTTTGAATTTGATGTTTTAATATTATATTAGAGCAAAGTTTTGTGTGGCTAAGTTTCCATCCGAGGCTATTCGACCGCCTCTCATCTCTCTGTTACCTCCACATGTTATCAGATGTGTTAGATCTGTCTCATATCATCTTTTTAAATCCTCGAAACTTGACTAATATATTCTATAACCCCCTGTACTCATGACCACTTAATTTTGAGTTAAATACTTTAACAGTGAGAATCAATCATTTTTTACACTCGATTGATAAAGTTCCAAGAAACTCCATTTGAATTCATTGAAATGATTTTCTTTATTATTCTTCTGTTCAGTAAATTCATCCTTGATATCTTTTGAATTTTTTTTTAGTAATAGTCTAAAGTGAAATTAACAAAAGAAACAAATCAATTGGGTGGTCCTTAATTAAGCTATATTCTAATAGTATAGGTTTCCTGACTTGTAAGCTTAAACCAATGGCTTTCTGTTTTAATGTTTTGCCACAATCTTAATTAACATATTATTATTAGCAGTGTATTGTGGTAACCAATCTATTCTCTCTCTCTCTCTCTCTCTCTCTCTCTCTCTCTCTCTCTCTATATATATATATATATCTATATATATATATAATATATACAGTGCATTGCATAATCAAAATTGCACTTATGTATTTTACTTTCTGCCTACCATATTAATTATATATATTTAATATGCTAAATATAAAGGATTTCCAAACTCACTAGCCCGCATGCCATGATTACGTCAGGGCCGGCACAGACAAATAAAAAAATTATAATTTATCGTTCTATTCATGAATTTTTTTTTTCAATGTAAGAGAGACTCCTATTTTCAAAATTTACCTTAGATCCCCCAAATTTCAGGATTGGCCCTGAATTACGTCATGACATTTTTGGAAAGGGAGAGCCTTCTTTCCGATCTATATCGGACTGAAGAATGTTTTGAAGTTACGAAGCTCATATTGATAATTTGAGGGGAGACGTACGTTATAGGTCTTAATAAATATATTTATTGGGTCTTATGATAATTAATGACGTTTTTAATCAAATACTATTAAAACAACGTTACTAAATGTTAATTTTCAGTGACAGTTTAAAAAATATCACTAATTATAAGTTTTAGTTATAGTTTTAAAAAATCGTCATAAAAAAGTCACTAATTTTTAACTTTTAGTGATAATTTAAAAAATTCATCACAAAAAAATGTTTTTTAGCGACAATTTATAAAAATTATGACAAAAAAAAGTCACTAATTGTCAATTTTTAGTGACATGCAAAAAATGTCACAAAAAATTATTTTTAGCGACGATTTTACTATGACTTATTTTTAATAGGATTTTATGGGAATTAAATCTAATTATTAGGACCTATTGGTAATTTATCCTAATTTGAACTATATAATTTGAATCGTTTAATATGTACAACTCGTCGAGTACTTCAATCTCAACAAAAAAAAAAAAAAGAAGTTAGTTTTCTCTCATTCTCACATCTTCACATCTTAATATGAGAGAACTTGAGGGGACTATAGAGATCACCATAATTTCGTTTCAAAGATCCGAACCGTTCATTTTTTAAAGTTCACTGAGTAGAATATTCATACAAAAAATCAAGATAATCAGATATCAACAACTATATGTGTGAATCAAATTTGTATTATAAATAATGGATAGTTATTCTTCAAATTATATTTGTCGTCCATTTTTTTAAAACAAATATAATTCAAACATATAATTACTGATATCCAATCATCTTAACTTTTTGCATGAATACTCTACTTAATGAGGCAAAAAAAGTGAACGGTTTGAATCACTAAAATCGGTTTCAAAATGAGTCTACTAAGTCTAAATGCTCTCTCAAATTGAAATAACAACTTGAGAAAAGCCAAATTTTGAAGGAAAAAAAATACGTTGATCGGATATCGATAACCACTTAATCAGATCACACTTGTATCAATAATAAGTATGATTTTAAAAATAAACCACTGAAACAAATGTAATCTGATCAAGTGACTATTGATATCTGATCAATATGATTATTTGCAAGAATAAAACAATCGATGATCCCTATACATTAAACGATACGGATCATCAATGTGAAATCTGTAGTGAGCCCAGAAACACCTAATAGTACCCTCCAGTTTGTTTTACCAACTAAAGAGAAGTCTCACCCTGTTCATAAAGATGGTTTTAAAATCTAATTTTTATTATTAAAAAAAAAAAAGACAAAATTCATTTTATCTCATATAGCTCAAATATAACCAAAAATTCCCAGTAAATTCTCAGTAAATTACTAATTAAATTCCCACGAAATTCTCAATAAATTCTTCAGTAAATTCTCAATTAATTACTCAGTAAATTTCTAATAAATCCTCAGTAAATTATTTAGGAAATTCGCAGTGAATTTTTCATACTTTCACGGTAAATTATTCAATAAAATCTCAATAAATTACTCATTAAATTCTCAGTAAATTACTCAGAAAATTACCCAGCAAATTGCTTAGTAAATTCTTCAGTAAATTCCCAGTAAATTACTCGGTAAATTCTCATTAAATTACTCAGTAAATTCCCAGAAAATTCTCCGTAAATTATAAAGTAAATTACTTTGAAAGTTCTCTATAAATTCCCCGTAAATTCTCCGTAAATTACTAATAAAATTTCCAGGAAATTCTAAGAAAATTATTCGGTAAATTACCCAGTAAATTGCTCAGAACATTACCCGGTAAATTGCTAAGTAAATTACTCAATAAATTCCGAGTAAATCACTCAGTAAATTTCCAGTAAATTACTAGGTAAATTACTCAGTAAATTCTCATTAAATTACTCAAAAAATTCTCAGTAAATTATAAAGTAAATTACTTAGAAAATTCTTAATAAATTCCCAGTAAATTACATAGTAAATTCTTAGTAAATTACTAATTAAATTCCCAAGAAATTCCCAGTAAATTATTCACTAAATTCCTAGTAAATCCTCAGTAAATTATTTAGAAAATTCGAAGTAAATTTTTCATAATTTCACAGTAAATTACTCAATAAAATCTCAGTAAATTACTCAGAACATTACCCAGTAAATTGCTATGTAAATTACTTATTAAATTCTGAGTAAATTACATAGTAAATTCCCAGAAAATTCTCAGTAAATTACAAAGTAAATTACATAGAAAATTCTCAATAATTTTTGAGTAAATTCTCAGGAAATTACTTAGTAAATTCTCAGTAAATTACTAATTAAATTCCCAAGAAATTCGCGATAAATTCTACAGTAACTTCCCAATTAATTACTCAGTAAATTCCTAACAAATCCTCAATAAATTATTTAGAAAATTCGAAGTAAATTTTTCATAATTTCATGGTAAATTACTCAATACAATATCAGTGAATTACTCAGAACATTACCCAGTAAATTGCAAATTAAATTACTTAGTAAATTCTGAGTAAATCACTCAGTAAATTCCCAGTAAACTACTCAGTAAATTCTCATTAAATTACTCAGTAAATTCCCTGAAAATTCTCAGAAAATTACAAAGTAAATTACTTAGAAAATTCTCAACAAATTCCCAGTAAATTCTCAGTAAATTACTAATTAAATTCCCACGAAATTCTCAATAAATTCTTCAGTAAATTCTCAATTAATTACTCAGTAAATTCCTATTAAATCCTCAATAAATTATATAGAAAATTCGCAGTAAATTTTTCATAGTTTCACGGTAAATTACTCAATAAAATCTCAGTAAATTACTCATTGAATTCTCAGTAAATTACTCGGAACATTACACAGTAAATTGCTCAGTAAATTACCCAGTAAATTTCGAGTAAATCACTCAGAAAATTCCCAGTAAATTACCCAGTAAATTCTCATTAAATTACTCAGTAAATTCTCCGAAAATTCTCAGTAAATTAGAAAGTAAATTACTTAGAAAGTTCTCAATAATCTCCCCGTAAATTCTCAGTAAAGTACTAATTAAATTCCCAAGAAATACTCAGAAAATTATTCGGTAAATTCTCAATTAATTACTCAGTAAATTCCTAGAAAATCCCCAGTAAATTATTTAGAAAATTCAAAGTAAATTTTTCACAATTTCACGGTAAATTACTCAATAAAATCTCAGTAAATTACTCATTGAATTCTCCGTAATTTACTTTGAACATTACCCAGTAAATTGCTAAGTAAATTACTCTGTAAATTCCGAGTAAATCACTCAGTAAATTCCCAGTAAATTACTCGGTAAATTACTCAGTAAATTCTCATTAAATTACTGAGAAAATTCTCTGTAAATTATAAAGTAAATTACATAGAAAATTCTCAATAAATTTCCAGTAAACTACTTGGTAAATTTTCAGTAAATTACTTTTTAAATTCCCAAGAAATTCTTAGTAAATTATTCAGTAAATTCCAAGTAAATCCCCAGTAAATTATTTAGAAAATTTGAAGTAAATTTGTAATAATTTCACGGTAAATTACTCACTAAAATCTCAGTAAATTACTAAGAACATTACCCAGTAAATTGCTAATTAAATCACTTAGTAAATTCTGAGTAAATCACTCAGTAAATTCCCAATAAATTACTCGGTAAATTACTCAGTAAATTCTCATTAAATTACTCAGTAAATTACTTGTAAATTCTCAGTAAATTACAAAGTAAATTACTTAGAAAATTTTCAGTAAATTCCCCGTAAATTCTCAGTAAATCACTTAGTAAATTCTCATTAAATTACTAATTAAATTCCCATGAAATTCTCAATAAATTCTTCAGTAACTTCTCAATTAATTACTCAGTAAATTTCTAATAAATCCTCAGTAAATTATTTAGGAAATTCGCAGTGAATTTTTCATACTTTCACGGTAAATTACTCAATAAAATCTCAATAAATTACTTATTGAATTCTCAGTAAATTACTCAGAAAATTACCCAGTAAATTGCTAAGTAAATTCCTTAGTAAATTCCCAGTAAATTA